CCTCCCAATGTTTTTGGGAGGATTTGATGAATGCACATTTCAAGGAGGCTGACACACACAGTCAGCACCCCCATGAAGCTTAGCTACAGTTGCAGTCACTTCCATTTCTGACATTCTCCCCTTGCCAGTGGGGAAAGCAAGGAGAATCAACGTGGATCACTCTGGCCATAGACTGTGGCTACTGTTTATGGAATTGCGTATAGTGGAGAAGACAGACAATGAAATAAACAATTATTGTACATGTGAAGAGTATTTTTCAAGAACTGAGGATGCTCAGGGGGGGTTTCGGGGCTCCTGGGCGGGAGGAATGATTAGGATGGAGGGAGTGAAGGGATTAAACAGAACATCTAAAACAGACTACCAGGCCCGGGCGTGTGTGGGCTCATTGCCTGTAATTCCAGCACTATTGGGAGGCCGGAGGTGCGTGTGGATGTCACTGGGAGGTCAGGATCCGAGTCCAAGACCAGCCTGACCAACATGGAGAAAACCCATCTCTACTAAAAATAATAAATTAGCCAGGTGCAGTGGCACACGCCTGTAATCCCAGCTACTCAGGAGGCTGAGGCAGAAGAATCACTTGAACTTGGGAGGCGGAGGTTGTGGTGAGCCAAGATCGTGCCATATCTTGCACTCCAGCCAGAGCAACAAGAGGGAAACTCCAAGTCAAAAAAAAAAAAAAAAAACCACAACCAAGTGGCTGTTAACAAACTAGAACGAAACATCTTTAAATCAGATAACACAACATTTGGGATCAAAAAGAAGGAAATCATCAGCAACTAGAAAATGTATTTACTGTTAAAATAGTGTTTTGCCCTTATCAGAACTGAGAAATCCAGAATTTTTCCAAGTGAGGTGTACAGGGTGCCTATCTGCATGGGCATTGTTGGCAGAGATTATTAAAACAGATTCCTGAGTTGCATCATTCACATTCTAAATCAAAAATCAAGAAAGCCAAGGAATTTAGCATTTTAGCATGTTCCCTTTGTGCTGCTTCTGCACACTTAGTTTTGAGGATCACTGGGGAAACAGCACAATTTGCAAGAAGAATGGAGAAAATCTGAGCTCTATTGACCACCTACTATATGCCAGGCAATGGATTAGTCACTGTCACCTACTTAATCTGTTTGGATTTTTAAAGAAACTCTGTAAATTAAGTATTATTGTGACTATTTTGCAGGCATGGAAATTAAATGAAAAAGAAAGCTCCATAGGGTTCGATGACATTCCCAAAGTCACATGGCCTACTGAGTCAGGTGACCTAGGTTCAAACCTAAGTCTGTAGGACTGCATAGACTTTTCTCTCTCTATTCCCAAGGACACATGCATCCTTGCTGTGGAATCCATAGAACTGAGCCTGTAAAGGATCCTGAGAGAGATCACCTCATCAAGCACTGCTCCTTCATTTCCTTTCTTATTGCTCTAAGACTAGAATATGAAACTCCAGCAAATCTTGCTCTCTGTCAAAAGAATTTTGTGAAGAAAATTACTAAAGAATCTGAGACAGTTGCTCAGAGGACAGAAGATTGATTTAAAAATGTTCCCCACTCAGAGTCATTAACTCTTGGGTTGAGCTAGGGATCTTGTAACTCTTGGGGTGATCTAGAGATCTTGTAACTCTTGGGATGAGCTAGGGATCTTGTAACTCTTGGGATGAGCTAGGGATCTTGGTGCACCACAGCCAACATCACAGACAAATCATTCTCTGCCATGCAGTCAAGAACAGATAACTGTCAACTCATGCTCTTCATTATTTTCTTACATAAAGTCAGTGGCTATCATGGTTTTTTTTACCTCACAGCAGTTCTGGGAGTAATAAAAAGACACACAAATATCTGTAAAGCTCTCCTAAACTTTTAAGATAGAGGAAATGAGGAATGTAGAGTGATATTAGGCCCCTTTTGGACGGCGGGTCAGACTCATGGGCCTCAGAGTCCTGGGCACCATGGGCTTCACCTGCCAAGGTTCTCGGCATCCTTCATGGTCTCTGGCAAAGCGACCCCCTTGGTCTCCGGAAGAAGTAGCGTCACTCCCGCGGCAAGCAGGCCCAACACCCCTTCAAAGGAAACAGATTGCAAATGGAGCCATTAGAGCACAGCCAATGTCATTTACAGAAATAATCACAGCCAGCCAAAGAGAGGAAGAGACAACACGGATGGGACAGATACTATTTTTTTAAAAGAAAAAAAGTTAGCAACATTTATAAAAGAAAATTAAAACAGTAGGATAACTGGGGAAATGTCAGAGTAAGTAAAGGAAACATTGCCTTCATTTTACTTCGATAGAAGTATAAAGTTCCATAGTAACTGATGTTTAAGTATTTGGGGATCTGTTGATTGGGGTACATATACACATAGAACTAGCTATAGAGCACAGTCTATATGCGGGCAGGGTGGACCCCTCCCATCACTCTTTTCTCCCTCTTTTTTCCCCTCGCCTTCTACTTCCCTTTCTCCCTCCTTCTTCCTTTCTCCCTTTCCCTATGTCTTCCTCCACCCCTCTTTTTGTATTCAACTGTGCCCAGGCATGGCAGGTCTGTGCAAACAACCAGGAATTGTTGCCTTCTATCAAGTGGGTAAGCAGGGTCTTGGAAGTTCCCTGGCCTAGGTTTGGAGAGATAAGTAGGAATCCTCTCTCCCTTCTCTCATCCAACTGTATCAGAAAGAAAGCGATACAGAACTTTGATTCCCACTCATCTCCTTGTGAGTGTTCTCAATTGTTAAGATCTAGATACAGAAGACAGGTGATAATTCAGCATCTTCAAGACTCTAGCAATTATATGTTAAATGTGTAAGAATTGGTGATCACATTTATCAGGAGACTATGTCAAAAGGTCTCTCAGATTCTGTCCTATAGTATGAATGACTGGAGTCCAGAGCGAGAGGATGGAAATCCCTGACCCATATGCTAGGAATGGTTTCTTATCTTTCCCATGAAGCAAGAGAGAATAAGCCAGGAGACATCCCAAGAGCATCACCATCCTTGCCTTTTGTAAACTCACTGAGAGATATCATTCCCTTCACTCACAAATATGACTGAGTACTCACACTCAGTTCCACCCATGCTGAGCCCACTGCCAAGCTGGAAAAGAAGAAATAATATATGCTTCACAAAATCTTACCAAATAAAACGAGAGGCAATGGTTGCCAAACCTCCATCAGCCTGAAGACTATGAAGGGGGTGATTATCCCACCTATGTCACACAGGGAGGAACACACCATCACTCCAAGGTTCCTGATAAAATACAAAGGACAAAAAATATGGTAATTCTGTGATTCACTTTTCCAAATGTTAACCTGATCCTAAAACAAACACAATGCCAATACCTGCAGCTTGCTGTGGGTATCCAGTGCTCAGCACCTCAGAAGAAAACTGCAGGGGTCAGGGGGAACCATGAGGACCAGCCCAGAGGGTATTGAGAGGAGGTAATAGGCTAGAGCGAAAGTGGATATGAGCCATCCATTGCCCATGCAATGGCAGAGAGCCTACCTCTTTTTAACTATACATTCAAATATTTAGCTCTTAGTTGTATAATTCCTGAAGAATTGCTGCAAGCCTTACAAAGATAAAAAGAACACATGCTCCCTGCTCTAAACTTCAATTTTACCGCACTCCTGTCCTAGGTCCATGAACTGTCATCACCTGTGAGGAAAGCACAATGTCTGGGAGTGGCTGAGTCTAGTGGGATTTGGGCCCTTCCCAGCCCTAAGACCCTGGGAGTGGGGTCAAGCAAGGAGGGAAATCCTGACTGATCTGCACCAGGGACTGACTCACCAATCCATCACCTCAATAGCCAACAAGTGACCCTTAGAGGAGGCACATGAGGAAAAAAGGAGACCTAATCAGAATGAGGGATCTGACATTGGCGTTCACTGGTTAAGGGTCAGTGAATGTGGTTCCTTATGCATGTGATCCAGAGATTTGTTGCCCAGGGCAACAGGCCTTAAGTAGATCTTCCCAAGAAAAACATGAATTCCAGCTTCTAGCACTAGCACCACGGGGGATCTGCAGTGTTAATGAGGGTAATCTGGTGCTGAGTTTGTAGTTGTTGAGAAAGATAAGACTAATCGTTGAAATCCCAACTTCAAGCTCCTTTCCTGTGGCTGCAAGCTTTGGTCTGTGCTAAGATGAGCATTTTCTTGGGAGAATGAGATTTAAACTGTGACTAGTTGCTTTTTCCACTTGAAGAGTTGCTGGGGATGCTTTCACTTTTAAACTATCTTCCCCCACCCCCACCGCCGGCTTATATTTAAAGTGAGCTTCTTGTAGACAGCAGGTGATTGAGTTTCACTTTTTTGTCCAAGCTGACAATCTCTGCCTTTTAACTGGAGTATCTAGACCATTTATATTTCTTGTGATTACTAATATGATTGAGTTTAAATCTATCATCTTGCTATTTGTTTTCTTTTCGTTCTGTTTGTCCTTTGTAACCCTTTCTTTTTCTGCCTTCTTACAAGTTATTTGAAGTGATTTCACTTTATTTTCTGTGTTGGCTTAGTAGCTATAATTATTTTTGTTTTTTAATTTTTGATTTAGGTTTATAGTAAACCTAACTCTTTGATCACAGTACCTTCCAGTAATATTGTAACATTCATAGATTACATGTGAAACTTACAATAGTATACTTGTATTTCTTCCCTCCTAGACTTTGCACAACACATTGTGATTATTGTTTTGATTGGCAAACTACAGTCCACAGGCCAAAGACAGCATTTTTAGATTTGAGTTAGAAATGCTTTTTACATGATTAAAAGGTTTTTTAAAAAAACAAAGAATAATATGCAATAGAGACTATATGTGATCCACAAAGCCTAAAACATTAGCTATCCAGCTCTGTATAGGAAAAGTTTGCCAATCCCTGCTTTAAAAAGTTCATTGTCTTTTAAAGAAAATAACCAGAAAAAAATAAATATGTCCATTTACCTATGTAGTTATCATTTTCAGTGCTCTTCATTTTTTGTGTGTAGATGGAGATTTCCATCTGATACTGTTTTCATTTTCTCTGAAAGACCTTCAAGACTAATATTTCCTGTAGTATAGGTCTGCTGGTGATTAATTCTTTCAGACTTTGTAAGTTTGAAGAAGTCTTTATTTTCCATTTGTTTTTGAAAGTATTTTTGCTGGGTCAAGAATTTTAGGTCGGCAGTTTCTTTTTCTTTCTTTCAGTACTTTAAAGATGTTTTTCTACCATCTTCTTGTTTGTATCATTTTCAATGAGAAATTTTCTGTCATTCTTATCTTTGTTCCTATTTGTGATACCTTTTTTCTCTTATTGCTTTTTAAGGTTTTTGTTTTTGTTTTTGTTTTGTTTTTGTTTTTGTTTTTGTTTTTGTTTTGAGACAGGGCCTTGCTCTGTTGCCCAGGATGCAGTGCAGTGGCATGATCTCAGCTCATTGCAGCCTCCACCTCCCGGGCTCAAGCAAGCCTCCTACTTCAGCCTCCATGGTAGCTGAGACTACGTGCATGCACCACCATACCCAGCTAATTTTTGTAGATTTTGTAGAAAGGTTTCACCATGTTGCCCAGACTGGCCTTTTGAATATTTTTATGATGTGCCTTTCTTGACGTTTTTTGTGGTTAGTATTTATTGAGATTCTTAGATCCATGTATTTGAAGTTTTCATCAAATTTTGAAGAAATTTTAAGCATTATTTCTCTCTATTAACCCTTCCTACTCACTTCTACAGACTCCAATTACATGCATTGAATTGTCTCACAGCTCACTGATTCTCTCTGTCTTTCCTTTTTGAGTTTCAATTGTTATCTTCAAGTTCACTAATCTTTCCTTCTATAATGTTTAATCTGCTGTTAACTCATGTGGTGTATTTTTCATCTCAGACATTGTGTTTTTATCTCTAGAAGTTTAATTTGAGACTTAAAAACATTTTTTTTCCTTATCTCTACTTAACATGCTCAATCTTTAGGTTCTTAAACATAGAGAATATAGGTATCATAACTCTTTTAATGTTCATGTCCACTAATTCTATCATCTGTGCCATTTCTCGGTCAGTTTGAATGTATTTATTTTTCTCCTCAAGATAGGTTCTCTTTTCCTGCTTCTTTGTATGCCTGGTAATTTTTTATTGGATGTCAGAAATTGTAAATTTCACTTTGTTCCATGCTCAATTTTATATTTCTAGAAACAATCTTGAGCTTTGTTTTGAAAACATGATTAAAATAGGAATAATAAATCAGGAAAAGTTCTATCCTTTAGGGTATTATTTTTAAGCTTTTTCTATTGCAATTATTTGCATAATTTCTTACTCCCTACAATGACTAATTACAAAATTCATATATTTATATTTCTTTCCCAAGCCCACCCTCCATGACCTGTATCCTGAATGATATAAATGCTTATATCATCTCTTAGAAATTTTTAAAAGAAATGTAGAGGTGGAAATTTTATTGAATGCCTTTCAGTATCAGTAGAGATAATAATATAATTTTTCTCTTTTGACTTATAAACTTGATTTATACTGTGAGGTTTTCTAATACTGAGCCATCTTTTCACTCCTGGAGTAATTCATCTGAGACACAGAATAGCAATTATTTTAATGTTCTCCACTGGTTGATAATATATTGTTTAGGATTTCTAGATCAATATTCACAAATATATGTCTGTAGTTTCCTCATTTCCTTTATCTTTGTTGTTCTTTGGTATCAATATTATGCTAATTTTATTTTTTAAGCTTGGAAAATTTCCTTCTTTTTCTAGGCTTTAGAGCAATTTAAATATTATTGGAATTTTCTATTAAATATTTTTTAAAATCCCCCTTTAAAACCATTGTGGATTCCTTCTTTATCGCTATTGAGGGCCCTCCTTATCTTATTTAGTACCTCTTCCCATAAATTCAACTTTGATTAGATTATGGCACTTGCTATATATTTCCCTAGTATGCTTTTGTGCATTCCTTCTTTTTTAGCTATTCTGAAGAAAAGTTATACTCCATATATGCAGGCATATTGTTGGATTTTGCTTTGTAATCAAGCTAGGGAGTCATCTTTTTTTTTCCAATAAAGGAGTTAAGCCTCCTTTCATTTATTTAAATGTCAGAAATGTTTGGTCTTAATTCTATCATGTCAATTCTGTCATATCAATGCTGTCGTCTATTCATATTCTATCATCTATTCACACCAGGGCTTTTTATTGCTTCTGGTGTCTTATTTTCGGTATGTGTTGGTTATGTGTATTTTTCCTGATAATTTGGAAGGGCTGTATTTTTAGTCAAATGATTACCTGTATAACCTTATATAATTAATACTCTATTTCTTTAGACAGTATTGACTAACTTCCTATTATGAACAATCATAAAATTAGTATTTTTCTACTTCCTCCTCAAACCATTCCTCCATGACCTGATTTAGTTGATTATATCATTACTTTCAGTGTTTTCCTTTGTATCTTAAAATATACCTAGGATGTTACTTATCAGTTTTTACAAATATATTGCTGCTGAACAAATTATACTCGTCAGTTTTTAATGATACACTTTTCCAACAAAAAAAGTGTATTGAAGAAATCAGTGTATTACACCATCTCCAACATTCTCTCTCTTTTCTTTTTTCAATCTTTATTAGTTATAACTTTTCTTTATTTTCAGATTTGTGATATTATATTCTGTTTTGTAGCCAAAAACACACTCGTTTTAATATCGATTTCAATGATCACTACCAATAATTCTGATACATTACTCCATTCATCACTGTACTTACTGAATTTTTTTTTCTAACAGTTTTTTTGGGAAAGGATCATAGGAACCATATTATACGAGATATTTTTAAATGATTGGCTATTGCTTTTCTATAGAAATGAGAGCTTGGTTGGATAAAATTCACTGGGTTCGGGCATGGTGGCTCACACCTGTTATCCCAGCACTTTGGGAGTCCGAGGCAGGCGATCATTTAAGGGCAGGAGTTTGAGACCAGCTTGATCAACCCCATCTCTCCTAAAAATACTAAAATTAGCTGGGCATGGTGGTGGATGCCTGTAATCCCAGCTACTCAGGAGGCTGAGTCAGAAGAATCGCTTGAACTAGGGAGGCAGAAGTTGCAGTGAGCTGAGATCATGCCGCTGCACTTCAGGCAACAGAGACTCTGTCTCAAAAAATAATAATAAAAATAATTGGTTTATACTTTATTTTCTCGAGGTCATTGCAGGCATTGACTGTCTTCATGAAGTGATAACAATTTGTTCTCCTTATATAGGTGACAAACTTTCAGTCTGACTACTTGGTG